GCTCCGCCGGTGGCGGCGGCCGGCACGGGAAGGCTGAGTGCCTGCCTGAGGAGAAAGGGCGGGCGTGGGGACGGGGGCTCCTCTGCCTGCCGGGGAGCCGGCCCGGCGGGGCGAGGAAGCCTCCATCAGCCCTGCGAGTGTGAAAATCGCTTGTATATGAGCTCATTGATTCATGGCAGTTTATTTTCCTAGAGCTGTCACCCCAAAGTCCCAGGGGCAGAACTGCCTGGGCTCCTCACGAGGAAAGCCTGCCGGTGAACTCCTGCGTGTACACCTTCACTTCAGTAACATAAACAGATAAACCATCAGTTACTGATACATAATGAAAAAGAAATTAAATAAGGCCTTATTTTCACAGATGAGAGCGCACACAAGGTTCAGACTAGTTTCTCAGTGTGATGGCCCTAACAAAGTCCCCATAAGAACATACAGAGGGCTTTAAATACGAATACGACAGAGCATCAGTATAAATAGTAATGTTAGAGTGTTCAAGTAAATCCATTATTTACAGAAATACTTTTTAAAATTATGATTAAAAACCATTGGATGGTTTGCTGGTGGGTTTGTTCCAGCAGCAGGATGCCGGCCTCCATTTCCCGTGTGTGACCGGGGTGCCCGTGGCCGTGCGGCCAAATACAGCCGTGTCGGAGCAGCGCCGGCACGGTGTGCTCTTGGCAGCTTCTCTTTCAAACCGCCTCTGACCCCCTTTCCTGTTTCTTTTTTGGACTGGTAATGATCTGGCAAGATCTGCTGTGCTTAGATTGACCAGCATTACCTAATTAAGTACATGCAATGTGCTTATTTATAGCAAATGTTACTTTTCTGGCAGTTTTTATTCCCTTTCCCTCCCGTGCTATGGCCACATCCTGTGGAAAAATCATCTGGAATTTGGTTATGGGACTGGTTTTTATCACATCCACTCTCCAGTTCATGAGGCAAGATGACAGTGTTATTGCTATTTATTTAAAAAAGTATAAAACAGCGTGAGTGCACTGGAAAAATGTGTTGGGATGTCTGGTTTGTCTGCTGCAGAGGGTTGTGTACAAATTCCCAGTTATGAAATGTCCATAGTAATCAGAAAGGACTAAACCTGCATTTTCCTGCAGCTGGAGAAGGTCCCAGGTGAAGGGCTGTGCTGGAATTTTGAGCGAGGGCTGTGAAAAATCTTGTTTTTCTCTACTTCAGAATTAGAAGAACAAGGGGAAAGTATCAGATGAAAAGGAGATGGTGGCTGAGCGGCTGCTACAGAGCTCATCAGCTGGGACTACGACAGCAACAGGTCCTGCACTGCACTTGTGTTTGTGTACGCAGCCTATTTAAGAAATGGTGCGTCACAGACGGGCAGCGCTGCCTGCAAAATTTAAAACCTTGATTAGCAATTTTTTTCTCAAAATGACATTCCTTTATGGCACTGAATAATCAATCTAAGCTTAAATGAGATATCAGAATCTTAGTGCTGTGGTAGATGGCAACAAATCTTTGGTCACTTTGTCAACACAGATCTTTAAAATGAAGGAAATAAAAAAGAGCTTGAAAAAAGCTGGAGAATCCAGTTGCAGCCCAGAGTGCCTGGAAGGATTCGCTCCTGCCATCCTATGATGTTTTAGTCAGTACAGCAGGTGGCACTTTAGTAACATACATTTTTCCAGGTACTGTTGTTATTGCAGATTAAAAGCCTGTTTTTTATGGAATTCAGGGGAGATATTTTAAATATCGACGTATTGATAACACTATTTATAAAAAAAAAGTATCACTGTCACCATGCATGATTGGCACTGGAAATTGAATGCAAGATTATTTTTGAGTTGCACATGATACAGAACACAAAGCTGGCAAGGTGCATCGAGATCATGTAGTACATATCTCCGTTCAGACCTCCTACAAGCAGGACTTTTTCACTGTCACCTGCCTTTTCCAGCAAAATAGGCACTACCCGGCTGCTCCCCTGTTTTTGCTTGGGTAAGGGTCTGCTTGTGTCGATAGGATTATAGGGAGTAACCAAAAGCAGAACTTGGTCTCTAGAAGTTAATTCATTCCTGTGTACCTTCAGGAAAGACCCTCTCATAAATAACAGGAATATCAATCATGAAGTGTAATATCCCAGAGACAAAAAACATCCTGACCTACAGAATAAATTAATGTGTCATGGAAGGTTTTCTTCATCTGTAATATCCTTCTGCTTATTAAAAAATATTGTCCAACACTAGTGTGTTAGAAGAAAATTGGTATCTGTTGACTTTAGTAAGAATTGGATTGAACTTCAACATGCTTAGGAGAGGCATTGTTCTGAAATCCCCGGTTCCTATTGAAATCATGGTTTGTGAATTCATTACGATACTCTCAGAATTTGGGTCTCTCTCTTGTTGGTGTCTGCAGAAAAACCAAAGAAGAGGCAGAGCCTGTGCAGAAGATTTCGTGGCCTTTGTGTGGCTTCTGTGCAGCTACAAGGGTCAACTTCTACGGAACAAAATTTAAAATGAGCTCAGAGGATACCTCTGTTTATCTTGAATGATAAAATCTTCATGCTGCTTCAGGTCAGAAGAAAACCCCCTTATCGATGATTTCAAGGAGAGGAATTTGTTCATAACCCCTGGCTTTCTCTTCAGGAGAATCAAGGCATGCAAAACTTACTTTTTACATTAAGAAATGGAAGAGAATACACACTGTTTTAAAAATAAGCAGAGGCAAACCTGCAGTTCACCTGATAATAATTTCAGGCTTAAATATTTTAAAAGTTACTAAAATATAATGAGAAGAACATTTAAGCGGTACTCAATTTCTGCTAATGGAAACTTCCCAGAGGAGTCTCTGGCCAGGCACCTGCAGCCAGAAGTTTGAACTGGTCAACCGCATTTTGAAAACAGGGCCTTTCCCTGTATGTGCAGAGGGGGTGTTTCTGTAACTTCCGCTTGTTCAATTTACTTCAAAACCCAGATATATTAAAAGCTGAAAAGCCAATTGGGGACTAAAAAAAAAAATTATCTTTCAGTATGTGAATAAAAGCAAGGCCCAGGCGGACAAGATCTTCTACAGTCTGGAAGGATGCTGTGACCAGACACAATCGTGTTCAACTCAGTGTCTATATGGGATATTCCCTTTATTTAATAAACCAATGTCCTGCTTTTGGCTGGGATAGAGTTAATTTTCTTCCTAGTGTCTGTTATGGTGCTGTGTTTTGGATTTAGCATGAGAATTATGTGATAACATGCTGATGTTTTAGTTGTTGCTAAGCAGTGCTTATACTAAGTCAAGGACTTTTCAGCTTCCCATGCTCTGCCAGCGAGGAGGTGCATAAGAACCTGGGAGGGGGCACAGCCAGGACAGCTGACCCAAACTGGCCCAAGGGCTATTCCATACCGTATGACGTCATGCTCAGTGTATAAACTGGGGGGAGTTGGCTGGGGGGCAGCAATCACTGCTTGGGGACTGGCTGGACATCAGTCGGCGGGTGGTGAGCAGTTGCATCACTTGTTTTTTCTGGGTTTTGTTCCTCTCTCTCGTCGCTTTCCTTTTCATCACAATTTTTTAAATTATTATTATTATTATTATTATTTTATTTAATTTTATTTCAATTATTAAACTGGTCTTACTCAACCCACGAGTTTTCTTACATTTGCTCTTCAGATTCTCTCCCCCATCCCGCAGGGGGGGAGGGTGAGCGAGTGGCTGTGTGGTGCTTGGTTGCCGACTGGGGTTAAACCACGTTAGCTTTACTTAAAGGTTTTCGATAGGTTGATATTCTTTTCCTGTGTTTCTTATACAAAGTTTGATTTAAATATCTATTCCCCATTTCACAATAGCTTATGAACAATTTTATTTGATTCCTGTTTCTATCACAATACATTTTGGCTTCAAATCTGGGTAAGCAATTTATAATAACCAAGTAAATGAGAAATACATCATGCATCATTTTAACATAATGAAACCAAACAGTTCAGAATGAAAAAATGTAGAGAAAACTATTTAATTGGCCTGTCTCTAGACAGCCAATTCCTACCAATAAGCCCTGAAAATCAGTTTTCCTGAAGAAAAACTAACTGGCACAAAGGCCAGCCAAGATCACACTCAGGTAATTAAAGGAAGGTTGCCTGTGCTTCATAGCTCTTTCATTCTGTTTTTCGTGTCCCCTCCTGGTACGATGTCTGCTTGCCATGCTCTTTATTAAACAACTTGGGGCACCTAGGTTTTTAAGCATCACTTTAAAGCACTTAATACATTGTTGATGCTTTCCAAGACATAATAATAATAATAATAATAATTTCAGATCTATGAGTTGAGTGCAGTGTGCTTCCACC